AGTTCAGGGATTCCCTACCTCCTCCCTCCTCTCTCCATCTTCAAAAATTGACTTGTGTAGAAGAAAGAAGAAAAAGGTAAATGAATGTTGTCATGTTAATATAAGTACCCTTAATTATACAAAATTTCATACTAGGTAACTAATAAGGTTGACAAAGTCTTAAAATAGTTAGGGAAACGAAGCGTTCAATATATATATTTATGTAGACATATATATAGTATGGTTTATACAAATGTACTTGGTTACAACTTTTAATACCTTGTACTTCGTCACCATAACTTTGCAATTTTCGTTCTACCTCATGCATGCCAACAAATCCAACATACAACTAGTTTCTTGTATTGGCTCTATTAGCACGGGTCCAACATTCCAAATCAATTTTCTCTTTCCTTCATTCCTAAGCAAATATGAGGACCAATATTTTAATTTTTAAGTACTCCGTACGCTTGATTAATTAGACTTCGACTAAGTAATCTGAAAGTTATATGGTGAACTTCTTATCAACTACCCTAAATCTTAACGGGTAAACAAATTTACTCAATTGTGTAAATAGGCTAATTAGCCAAATCGATTGCACTCGTATAAAGAAATTGCCGCATCATGCAGCATAATCTACGAAAGTGTACCATATTGAAAAATATGTAGTATATATATATAAATATATATATATATATATATATATATATATATATTTTAAAAATGGTACAAATATTTTAATGGGTGACGTGCACGCAAATCTAGGCCGATTTGTCTTCACCTTAATGGGAGTATATTTATTACTTTTATGCAACCCAATTTGTCTGCTCCTGTGTTGACGCGTTAAAACTTTATTTTCTTTATGTATTTTCTTCTTATTTTTTTCTCAATTTTTAATTATTATTTTTATTAACCTACAAATTTATGCTCTTGAGTCTTGACTTTGACTTATCACAAGGCATTTTTAGGCCTTGGTCCAAACTGGCCCAATAGTGGGCTCCCATCCGATCCAAGATGGGTTCTTAATTTTTTTTATTAATGATAATGAAAAAGTATAATTTAAATCATATAAAAGGCTACTAGTATTATTTATTTAAATTATTTGCATCAATAAGGCGAATTTAAATACAATTTTAAACTTAGATTAGAGATCTTTAGATGCCGCAATTATCGGATGATGTTCTCACAAGGGGTCAAACATCTAGAAGTAGAGAAAGGGTCAACGGATTGAAGGAGATGCAATTATTTTATGAGATGGAGGACCTGCCAATTGTTGTTATCTAATAAAATACGGTGTAAAACGTATATTGCTATCAAGCATTCGGTGACGCAGATCTGTAATAATCTACGAACTACGGGTATTATTTGTCACAATATTTTTATATTTTTGGATGTAAAGAGTGTTTATAAACGGAAAATTAATACATACTAGGTATCATCCTTAAAAACTTTGACCAACTGAAATTAAATAAATAGAATCCACGTTGGTGACACAACATTGCATCATTTGCATGTGATTATTTGAGAGAGCTTGGTTCATCTTAGCTTATAAGTACTTTAGTCATATTAATGATTCTACAGTAATAGGGTAAAATGGTAAAATCCTCATTCATAATAAATATTACTCCACATGTTACGTGAATTAAATTAGAATTATGGCTTAGCAAAATAAGGAAAGAGTCCAAAGATGTACATGAAGAAAGAGAAGAGGGAAAAGATCGAGAGAGAAGGGAGAGGAAAAAATATGTGCAAAGATGAGATAAATTATATGGAGATGGAGAAATAAAGAGGAAAGGGGAAAAAAATACAGCTTCTTTATTTTATTTTTTTTTTACTTGTACCTTATCGAGTATTTGTACTTATTCAATATATCCATTTTGAACATCGTCGTTGATAATTTATCTATCTGAAAAAACATAGTTACATGTAAACTTACAAGATTTGTTTCAATATATATTTTTATAATGTCAACTTTATATAATTATTACTTTTACCTAAAAATAAAAGGTGTTAATGATCAGAGTTATATACTGATAAATATTTCAAGTCAACATGATAATACAACAACAACAACAACAAAAAATGATAAGAGTTACTCAAGTTTAATTTAGAACTAAAATAAGTTTAAATTAAACGAGTAAAGATATAAATTCATATAATTTAAGTAAAAACCAGGTAAATAAAACGCACCCTTAGAGAATTAAAGATGAGGTCTTTCTACTATGACAAGATACCTAAAAAGTATATATGTGCAACGTAGGAGACTAGGAGGCATTAACATGAGACACATTGGATCCACCCCTAACATAATCAAAGCGGCAATTTATAAGTATCTCACTGCCCTTCACTATCAAGTATCTACTTAAATTGTATGTTGTTGAACAGACAACATTACAAGTTTGACTATTGCCGTGATAGTCTTACCTTATCAAATACTAATAAGGCCGTTTACTAATTTATAAAATGGCAATTTTTATATTTTTGGGGTTTTTATTGGCCTCATCATATCTCAGTTTATATGTGAATGCGACTACAGTCAACTGGCAGGCTAAATTAGGGCAATTCACAAATTGTCTGGTTTCAACAAAGTATGTGGTACCCAATAAATAAATAATAATGCTACATGTTGTCTTTCCCTTGGACCTTATTTTAATTTCATAATTTAACTTACACATATATTTAAGAAAATTACAAAATAGTGTGAACATAGATGTAGTTTGTAAAAGGTGTAATGATTTTGAGGCACCTAAAAGTAGAAAGTTATAATATCATTAATTTTTAGATCATAATTAACAAGCTGATTTGGTTCGAGATCTTATTTTAAAAAATGGTTGAAAGCTCAATTGAATTATAGCCTAAATTATTGAACATATACAAAAGGGTGAAAGGTATTTCACCAATGCCCTTATTGAAGATTGTTATTGATATTTGGTCATAATTTCAAGTTTTATCTATTAATCTATTACAGTATATAGAGTGACATGAATGATATTTAAACATTTTTAAAGATGAAAAATTAATATTCATGTGGTGGACATAGTATTTTTGATAATGTAATAGTCCAAAATTACAATTAATTTTTTGGTTTAAAACTGTCACCTCAAATGTGACTAAGGTCCCCTTTTCCTAACCACCAAAAGTAGAAAATGTTATTGACTAACTTTTTATATTTCAGCAATGTTTATTGACCATATAATTACCAAAGTTAGCCCTTAAAAAGGCCCTTTCGCAAGTGGATACTCAAAAATAAAGAAAGCCCTTTAAAAGGCAATCTTAAATCTAAGGATAAATCACTATCTCTTGTCAACCACCCCCAAAACCCCCGATGCCTTTTAGCTGATATAGTAATATGCTTGGGAGATTATTATTTTTTTCTTTATTGGAAAAAGGAAATTACCAAATGATTAAAAAAAAAATCATCTTAAATATATACGAAAAAATAAAAGTAATAAAAAGATCTTAAATATATACGGAAAAAAGAAGTAATAAAAAGATCTTAAACAATTTTATAAGCTTGAATTATTCATTACATTTAATACTATTTGAAAACTAGTACTTTGTGTGAGATTTAATCACAAAGAAATGAAAGAATATATAAATTCTTATGTTGTTAATTTTCAAAATCTATATGATTAATGATTAAGGTATGACTAATTTAAGTCATTGATGTATTGTACTTGTGGTATCAAATGAGAACAAATCAATTTATCAAGAATTATGTTTAGGATTAGAGAAGCCATCTAATCTGCTGAGTATAAATATCTTCATAAACCTTGTTTGAGGATAAATTTAACAGAGCATAATAATACTCCCTTCATTTTGGTCTTAATGTTTGTCTCATTTGATATATGTCGTATATCGATGAATAAACTTAATCATAATTTTTCTCTTTCTTCAAGTTATAATATATTGTGAACAAGACAAATATAAAATAAAAAATAAAATGAAGAGAGTACATACTCTATAATAAAAACAATTAAGTACCTTATGATTTCAAAATAAAACAATTAAGTACCTACTTAGTGCAAGTATATAATATGCCACGGATAATTTAGTTATCAATCCAAAAGGACTACCTACGTACACATTAATTAGTAGGGTATAATTTATACATGTTGACTTAGTATTAGGTAATACTATTCAAAAATTAAAGTAGTGGTACTAAATTTTAAAAAAAATGTACTCTTGGTTAATTGGAGAATGTGTGAACTAGTAAAAGAATGCGGTAAAGTGAGCTTTGGGTGAAGAGAATAAACACCTACTCTTCCCGAATTACACACAACATTTTTGTCTGATTATCCTCTCCCATACTTCTTCACGAAGCAAATCACAGTCAACGCTCCTTTTTATTTATCCCCAACCATGTACGCTGATATAAAGATCAAGAGTCGTTTACAAAAATACTCGTATTAAGGGATATCCACGATTGTATTTAGAATTTAAATGTATGTTATCATAGTTCAAACTAGGTTTTATTCTATAACCAATTAAAAACAATAATAGGAGTAATTTCTCTAGTTTATAAAATGGTTAGTTGTCTCATATTTATGTGGGACGATTTATGCGTGGATAATTAAAAAAATTCAACATATTGTAGTTTATAAAGATGTATTCCGTTTGGCCTATTGCATGTATAATATAAATTTGGATATTATGTGTGTTGAGATTGTAGGTATTTTTTAAATATTTGTAACAGATTTTGTTGTAATATCTAGTATTTAAAGCTCCTCATTGTTGTAAATGTTGTAAGATCATTTTGACAGAAATAATAATTACTCTTTCCACTTATTCTCTCTCTCTTTCTCTTTTGATTTCTTCTCTAACGAACTCTGAGTTGAGTTTGCACATGGTATCAGAGCTTTTTGGCTCAATTTTCTGGTGAATTTTTGCGATTCTTGATGAATCTTGATTGATTTCCGCTCTCTCAATTTCGATTACATTTCATGCAATTTCATGATTTCGATTACGAATTGCGATTTTTTTTTATTTCAATTGCGAATTGCGATTTTCTGATTTTGATTGAAATGGCGAATTCTGAAACACTTCAACACAATTCTTCTCATGGAATTAACTTCAATGATCCTTACTATCTTAGTAATGGTGATCATCCTGGTATGCAGTTGGCTACTCATGTATTGACAGGTTCAAATTTCTTGAACTCGAGCAGGACTGTACGAATGACGTTGATTGCTAGAAATAAATTGCAAATCGTTGATGGAACTCTTGCGATTCCTTCTGAAGATTCGCCTAATTGTCAGAAATGGATTCGTAATGACTATATGGTGATGTCTTGGATTCTGAATTCAATTGATAAATCGATTGCAGAAAGTTTTATGTTTGTTAATTCTTCTTCTCAACTCTGGAGTGAGATTTCAGAGAGGTTTGGGCATATAATTGCTCCAAGATTGTTTGAATTACATCGCTCTTTGACTTCTACTCAACAAGAGAATGCTTCAATTGCTGAGTATTTTGGTCGATTGAAGGCTATTTGGGATCAATTGCAACTTCTGAAAGGTTTTCCAGATTGCACATGTGGTGCTATGAAGAATTGTAGCTTTGGTATATTGAAGAAAGTTCTTGAGAATGATCAGCGTAACAAATTGATGCAATTGTTATCTGGTTTGAACAAGCAATATGATCTTGTTATTACAAATTTGTTGAGTGTTGATACTCTTCCTACTGTTCATAAGGCGTATTATACTTTACAGCAAGTTGAGCAGCAGAATCGCTGGAGTGATGCGAAGGCTGTATATGAAATGAGTGCATTTCATGTTGCGAAAACTTTTTCTAAACCTTCTTATACTTTCCAGAAGAAAGATGTGAAGAAGCCTAAGTCAGATTTGTTCTGTGATTACTGTAAGAAACGAGGTCATCTGCTGGATGCTTGTTTTGTATTGAATGGTTATCCTGATTGGTGGAACAGAGATAAGGTTCCATTGTCTAGTGCATCTAAGCTTTCTGCAACTGTGTCAAATTTTGGGTTTCGAATGGCATATAATGCAGCTAATGATGCTAATGGTATTCTTGGCAAAGCTCCGCCAGCTTATGGTGAATCAAGTGGTTTTGCAGCTAATTCTGGACCTGTTGATCTTGTCCTAGCATCAGCAGTTTAAAATGAAGTATTAAAGATGATGCAACACAAGATTGCATCTGAGGATAATCCACTTGCAGCCTCGGTTAACTTTGTTGGTATTGGTTCTATCTCTACTCAGGATAGCTTGTTGCCTCGTTTTGATCAAAATAGCTGGATAATTTATACAGGTGCAACTGATTATATGGCATCTAATTTGGCATTATTTGATAAATTGACTCACCTTAAAACACTAATCAAAGTGTCATTGCCAGATGGAACTGTTAATTTGGTTAATCGATTATGTAGGGTCAATTCCTTTAAACAATAGTCTGACTCTTAAGGATGTCTTTTATATTCCTACTTTTAAACACAATCTGTTGTTAGTAGGAAGGATTCTTGATTAAAATAAATTGGTGGTTATTTTTAGGACCTTGCATCTGATCAAGAGCAAGCTGTTGGAGAAAGGCACTCAGGTCTATATAGATTTTCTGTTTCTTTTTCTTTTCCTAATAATTTTGTTCTTTCTTATTCTCCTTTGATCAATAACACAATTACATATACTGTAAAGCCTAGTTCAAGTATTACTCATTCTAGACTAGGTCATCCTTCTGTGAACACTATGAAACATTTAATAGTTCCTGGAAATGTTAATAACACTTCTGATTTTGGTTGTGAGTCTTGTGTTTTGGGTAAACATCATAAATTCTATTATGAATCTTCTGCTTCTCATGCTGCTGATTTGTTTGAGTTGGTTCGCATAGATTTGTGGGGAAAGTATTCTAGACCCTCCTTGACTGGTGCCATCTATTTTTTTTTACCATTTTGGATGATTATTCTAGAACTTCTTGGACTCATTTGTTGCATTCTAAGACACAGGTGTTTTCCACTATTGCCGCCTTCTTAGAGTATGTTGTTACTCCGTTTGGTAAATTAATAAAGGTGATAAGGAGTGATAATGGGACTGAAATTATTCAAGAGCAATGTAGGCTTCATTTTGCTTCCAAAGGTATTGTTCACCAAAGAAGTATCCCAGGGAACCCTCAACAGAATGGTAGAGTAGAAAGAAAACATAAGCATTTGCTTGAGACAACTGTAACTATTAGGTTTCATGCTTCATTACCATATAAGTTTTGGGGTGATTACTTATAGGCTACAACCTATTTGATCAATTTGATGCCTAGTTTTGTTTTGGGTTGCAAATCTCCTTATGAGTTTATTTTTGGTAAGAAACCTGATTACAGTCATCTTAGAATCGATCATTGGTTGCTTGTGTTATCCAGCACAAAAACTTCCTTATAAATTTGCTCCTAGGCAAAGAAATGCATCTTTCTGGGGTATCCTTTTGCTCAAAAGGGATACAAGTTGTATGATTTGGACACTCATAAGGTTGTTCTCAGTAGAGATGTCTACTTTGATGAGACTGTTTTTCCTTTCAGAGAGTCAAATTAGATTCCTGATCCATCTACTCCTATTTCTTCTTCTCTTCCTTTGGTCAATCCTGCCCTAGATAATTCTTTTCCTTTTATTCTAGCTGCTGAACAATCTAGTTCAAAACAACTTTCTCATCCTTCTTCTGATCATATTGATTTTAATTCTCCCTTCTCTTAGTCTAGTTCTAATTCTGATTTTCTTCCTTCTTCTTCTGAATCTGTTCCTGTCTCTGATTCAATTTCTTCTGGTCATATTCATGTTCCTACAATGTCTATGTCTTCTAGACCTTCTAAACTTCCAACCAAGTTCAATGATTTCATTTTATCCTTGCCTAAACACAAATCTGTTCAGCCTGTCAGTTCTGAAAGTTCTCTTTCCTTTAATGTCTATTCTGAACCTTCTTTGGTTCATTTGGATAGCGCAGCTATGCATAGTCTTTCAAATGTCTTGACTGCTTATAAGCCATCTACTTATAATCAAGCTAAGGAACATCCTGAGTGGATTGAAGCCTGAACAAGGAAATTGAAGCTTTGGAGGCCAATGATACTTGGGAATTAATAGATTTACCACTTGGTAAAAAGGCTATATGCTGTAAATGGGTGTATAAGACTAAATTCAAGCCTAATGGTGAAGTTGAAAGGTGTAAGGGTAGAGTTGTTGCAAGAGGAGATAAAGCGATCTCAGGGAAGGATTTTAAGCATACTTTTAGTCCTGTTGCTAAACTGACAACTGTAAGGGTGGTTATGGCTTTGGCAGCAGTTCAGAAATGGGATATTCAGCAATTAGATATTAATAATGCTTTTTAACATGGTTTTCTTGATGAAGAGGAGTATATGACACCTCCACCTGGTTATTCCAAGGCCAAACCAAAACAAGTTTGTAGATTGAAAAGATCTTTGTATGGCTTAAATCAAGCTTCAAGGTGCTGGAACAAGGAGTTGATCAAGTTTCTGATTAGTTGGGGTTTTGTGCAATCAAAACAAGATTACTCGATGTTTGTTTTGAAGAATCAGAAGTCTTTTCTTGTGGTAGTGGTTGCTTATGTAGATGACTTGCTTATAACTGGGAATGATAGCTTGCTAATATCAAAGTTAAAATCAATATTGCACTCATGCAACTTTCACTATTAAAGACTTGGGAAGCTTGAAATATTTCCTTGGCATTGAAGTTTCTGGATCAGAAACTAGGATCATGTTGAATCAAAGGAAATATATACCGGATCTTCTTAAGTATCAGAATTTGGAGAATTGCAATCCTGCTCTTTTTCCTATGAGCATAGGTATGAAGCTTAGTCAGGATGATGGGGTTTTGCTTTCAGATCCAGAGGTTTATATTAGGTTGATTGGGAAACTTCTATACTTGAATATGACTAGACCTGATATATCATATGTTGTTCAGCAGCTTAATTAGTTTTTGAGTGCTCCCAGATCATCCCATTTGACTGATGCAATACATGTTCTCAAATACTTGAAAGGCACTCTCAATCATGGTTTGTTCTATCCTGCTAATTCTGAATTCAGATTGAGTGCCTATAGTGACGCTGATTGGGGCACATGTGCTGATACTGCAAGGTCTTTGACTAGCTATTGTGTCTTTCTTGGGAATGCCCTGGTCTCTTGGAAAACAAAGAAGCAGAAAGCAGTTTCCAAGAGTTCTACAGAAGCAGAGTATGGAAGTATGAGTCACACAACTTATGAATTAGTTTGGTTGGAAAGATTATTGCATAAGTTATCATCAGTTGAAGTTCCAACTCCTATTTTTCTGTATTGTGACAACATTTCTGCTTAGCATATAGCTGAAAAATTTGAGGAGCAAACATCATAAAATTGATGTTCATTACATTAGAGAGAATGTTCAGTCTGAATTGATCCAACTGAAACATGTCAGGTCTGCTCTTTAGTTGGCAGACATTATGACCAAGCCTCTGGGGTCAGATCAACATCGGTTTTTGTCCTAGAAGATTGGTTTGTTTAGTCAGGTTCCAATTCAAGAATGGTCTGCTTTGCTACAACCAACTCATTCTTGACCGGGGGGGGGGGCTGTTGAGACTGTAGATATTTTGTAACTATTTGTAACATATTTTGTTGTAATATCTAGTATTTAAAGCTCCTCATTATTGTTAATGTTGTAAGATCATTTTGAAAGAAATAACAACTACTCTTTCCACTCATTTTCTCTCTAAATTCCCTCTCTATTTCTTCTCTAACAAACTCTGAGCTGAGTTTGCACAATGTGGTTCTTATTTTTATTGAAATTAACTTAAGTGAATTCAAGTTTAAGAAATTATCCTACACAAACTTATTTACTCTTTCAACCATATTATTATTATTATTATTATTATTTTGGAAAATAGGTTGGTTAAGGAAAGCATATTTATGACACCCAATGAAAATAAATTTGATTTTTAATGAATCATAGTGAAATGGTTGGCAACAATTAGCATCATGATCATGAGATATAAGAGTACGAATTATTGAATTATAATTATAAAGGCTATAGTGTGGACTAATAGTACTTTGATTGCTAGATTAATTTATGTACGCATCACATAACTTTTAAAACGCAATATAATTTGATAATTTGGGTGCATGAAACTTCTCTAAGATATCACAATCAAGCAAAGATGAAATGGACCCACAATTGAGCTAACCCACCTACATAATTCTAAAATGAAAAAAAGCTAATTCTATGATACATGTGATTATGACGGCAGTGAATTGATAAGGGGGATATAATTTATGTTTAAGATTGACTAAAAAAATAATGTAAGTGGAAAATGAACATGGATCTCTAGATAAAACAAAGCTGGATCTAAAATAAAAATGACGGTGACTCGATTTTTATGTCAGAATGAGGGGGCATTATGCCGGATGTCCTGGCGGATCCCAATTTCTTCCGACATTTTACATAATCTTCCCACGCGTTTTTTTATTTTCCGTGCTTTTATTTCTAGGATCGTAACGCAGTACATATGTACAATTGTACACCATATACTATTATACGTCAGTTAGTCCAGCTATTGTACAACTTAGCGTTTGAGAGTAAAGAGGAAGGTATATTAAGAGAATCTCGTAGTTATGACTTTACAAACATAAAATGTTGACGAGGTTTGAACTTTTGATTTAGAACTCACAATGTGAGAACCAATTTTACAAGCTTGCATTCTTAATTATCAACAAAATCTCTCATTTTCACGGAAAACATATACTCGTATTTTAAAATTTTACCCATATTGTTTTATTTACCGTAAAAATAACAATGCTCTGACATTTTAAGCAGAATAAAAAAAAATCAAACAGTTAAATATGCCTATCAGCATCATTAACACTATAATCCGTATTTAGTCATCTCAATATACGAAGAAATGAAATTAAGAGGGGTACTTAATATGATCATGAACTACGATAATAAGCCACGAGGGAGTTGCATCTAGCTATGTTATCTCAAAAGCGCCACGTTTCAATAGTTTACATACCATGAAACATTTTTATACGTTTTATTTAATTATTTTATTTTTTGAATAAGAATAAAGGAAAAGGCGAAAAGACAAAAAAGGTTAAGCTTCTATTTTGTCTTAATTGACTAACATCTTGCCTAATGAACGTTTTTCGAATGAACCTGTCGTTTTTACATTTAGAGGGTAATTGGGCAAACACAAACTATGAATATGCATGGAATTATTACAAAGCTCGCTCATCACTATTTCTTTACAATTTTGTAGCTCCCTTTCTCAAGACAAAAGGCAATAACTTTGCATTTCGTATAGACTTAAAATCAAAAATTCACATCAATTGCATAAACAATTATAAATAATCCAACAGGGGTGAAATTTTCAAAAAAAAAGGTCATATTAGCCTACACAAAAATCATATCAACAAACAAAATAAATATATCAGCCTACTAAAGAAACATGTAAACCAAATGATGTTTGATATCAGCCAACAAAAGGGGGAAAAAAATATATCAGCCAACAAAAAGAATATATTAGCCAACACAAAAATCATATTTAGCCAATAAATGAAACATATCAGCTAACACATGAAACATATCAGCCAACAAGTAAAACATATCAGCCAAGTCTGCCACACGGAAATTTGCGTGTGGACATCCGCACGCAATAGCTTCTCTTGGACAAATGGTGAATTACGTACAAATTTTTATATTAATGTTAGTCGGCAACTATTTTTTTAAGGATGCCCATATTTGATATTTTCATTATGATTTATACAAATATGATATTGTTTTCTTGTTTAAATTTATATTTACATTTGCAAAAAAATAACTTACTTTGTATTTAATAAATTAAATACTCATTGCAATATACTCCATCTAATCTATTCCTTTTAGCTTGTCAATTTTTTTTTTTTTTTTTTTTTTTTTTGCCTTGTTCAATTTTTTATGCATATGTCTAAATATTAATATGTTCAATTACGCGTTAAAATAACAAATGAGTTTGACGGCTAATTAAGTCATTTAAACTTTAATTTATCCAGGCCACAACTACATTAGTAATAGAATAATAGACAAAACATTTTAGCTCTTTTAGTTGACAAGTTAGAAGCAAGCAAATTATTATTATGATAAGGATTGGAGAGGTCATTTATAATTTGAAATATCAACATTTTTCATGTATCTTATTAGGAGGAATAAATAAATAAAACTTCTTGTTTATTATTTTTTTTTTTCTTCTTCCTATAATGAAATCGAATTCTTCTCTCTCTCTTTTTTTTTTTTTTTTTTTTTTTTTTTTTTTTTTTTCTGTTTCGAAAAAAAAAACACATGAAGGAAATATGCATGGAATTATTACAAAGCTCGCTCATCACTATTTCTTACAATTTTGTAGCTCTCTTTCTCAAGACAAAAGGCAATAACTTTGCATTTCGTATAGACTTAAATTTTCTCATTTTTTTATTATCACTTGCCATAATATTCTAATATTACATATTAATATTTTCTCATATCGCATCATACATGCAAACAGTACAAAGGTTTTTTTTTTTTTTTTTTAATTTTTCAATTACTATCATTAAACAGATACTCACATTTATGATGAATATACATTCTAATTAAAACCCAAAGCAAAAATGTCCACTTGAACTAGTTTTACCCTTATTTTTTTTTTGAATAATACGACTCCATTGATAATAAACTACTGTAATATATAGCTTTGTCCTCAAAATTTAAAACGATATTAAGCCTAACAAAATTAGTCACACCATCAACCAAACTTTTCTAGATATAAAGAATTCAAATATCACAAAGTACCACAATCACAATATTCAAAATACACTTAAAAGTACGAGAGTCTTACTCATTAAAATGGATTTAATTAATCTACTCACACAAATCTCCAATCGAGTAACATCACTATCCTAACTGTACTTTATTCAAATATTAGCAACCCAATTACAAAAAAATAAAATTTCCCAATGACCTTATTATCAATTTCTTAAATTGACCAAGTCTTATGTTACATAATTAAAATAAAAAGTTGCAAAAAAGTTTAGTAATAATAATAACTTATAATCCATTAATTTTAATCCTAAAAAAAAAAAAAAAAGTGGGGTGGGAAATAGCATAAAAAGGCTCTGCCTTTTGTCAAGCCACGTGTAGATGAGGATCCCGTTTACACTAATATGGTTAAAATCCCGCGTTATTTTTGTAAGTTGTACTACTACATAACACTACCCCCTTAGCCGTTCTCCACACAATACCATCTTCTACAGTATGAACTCCCCATGAAATTATAAAAGCTTTATTTAATATTTTATGAAAACAAAAACTATAGTGTATAATAGAGCCAATGAGAAGGCGGTCCAAAATGCATTAAATGCGGCAGAAAATTAAAAAACCGTCCAATTTATTCACCAGACCCGTACTTTGCAAGCCAACCCTCTTCTCCTCATTTTTCACCGGCATTTCCCGGTCTCCATCACTTGTACCTGTTTCCCACACTTATATTTTCCCTTCATTTCTCTCTCTCTCTCCTATTTTTTAAACCAAACAGTCCCTTCTCCCTTCCCCCCTTGTTCATTCGCTCTTCATATATTCTCTCTCCTCTATTCAAATGAAGATTTGATGGGTGATAATAAGCATAAGATTATTAGTGTTGAAGAAATGGGCGCTTCGAAAATGATAGATATGACCAACAACCACCTTAGTCATAGTATTAGTAGTACTAATACAACAAGTATTTTCTCCGATCAGATGATGTTCGGATACAACAACAGCTTATTCGACGTTCCGGGCGCTACCCCATTCGATATGTTGATGATGGGTACTGGTGGTGGTGGCTTTGACAAAGGTAATAATAATCATCCGGGGTTTATGAATATGCTTGGATTCCAAGATTATTCCTTATTCGATCTGCTCCCACCCACTACGACCACCACCAATATTGCTACAACGTCTTTAACGCTACCATCAACCACGACGACGACGGCACAAGTGATAGTGCAGCAGCAGCCGCAGCCGCAGCCGCAGCCGCCTCCGCCTGTGAAGACGACTCAAGTAATAGATCCGTGTTTTAGTGGTTGTTCAACTATCGTCGTACCCGGGGACTCATCGGAGGCTGTTAATACTCCCGCTACCCCTAATTCTCTCTCTATTTCTTCGTCGTCGTCGGATGCTGTCAACGATGACCTGCCTCACCAGCAGAGTAAGACTGCCGATGGTCATGATCATCATGAAGAGGACAAGACTAAGAAACAGTATGCCTCTTCTTCTTACATTTTTAATATTTGTGTCTTAAATTAGTACACATAATTAATTAATCAATTTTATTTTATGTACGAGTATAATTTTAATTATGTTGGAAAATAAAAAAAGGTGCGAAATAATTCATGTGAAAAGAATTTTGTTGATTGGGCATATACATATGTATATAATCTAACAATCCCGTGCTCTGTTTACTCTTGACTAACTACTTAGTCAAACCTGATTTTATGGGGGATAATTAAAAATTGAAGAGATGAATAATATTTGGTCAATGGGATTTGGTTTTTTTGATTTGAATTTATAGCTGATTCCTTAGTAACTAAGGACTTGGGTTTTTAATTTTATGAATTTTAATTAATTTTTATATTAATTGTATTTGTACTATTGTGTGGTGGTATGAACATAGGTTGAAACCAAAGAAGAAGAACCAGAAAAGGCCCAAGGAGCCGAGATTCGCGTTCATGACAAAGAGCGAGGTTGATCACCTTGATGATGGCTACCGTTGGCGAAAGTACGGCCAAAAGGCCGTTAAGAACAGCCCTTTTCCGCGGTAATAATAATACTATACTTATGATTATGATCGAGCTCGTCATTTTGTATAATTTATGTATCGAGAAGAGTGAGTACTGAAATTGGTTGATTTGCACGCAGGAGCTATTATCGTTGCACCACGGCAGCATGTGGGGTGAAGAAGCGAGTGGAGCGATCGTCTGATGATCCGTCTGTTGTGATGACCACCTATGAGGGGCAACATACTCACCCATGTCCGGTGATGACTCGTGGAGGGATTGGTATTAGCATCGGCATGGGGATGTTCTCGATGCCAAACCATCTGAATCAATGCAGCACCGCTCCCACCACCCCATCTGCTTTTGGTGGAAGCGGTGCTGCATCTTCCACTCTTCTCTTCCCACACCCTCAACACTACCATCAATCTAACAATCTCTATCCTCAACATCAGCAGCAGCAATTTCCCAGTTTCTTTCATAACCCAACTCCAACATCCTTGAGCTTCTCAGCTAGTGGTGGTGCCGGCCAACAACAACCTAACTCGATTGCTCTCCTGCGTCCTCCTTGTTCTTCCTCTTCGAACCAGGTTAGAGATGATGGACTTCTTCAGGATATTGTGCCTTCACAAATGCGTAATGATCAACAACCAACTAAAGAAGAATAGAAAATCACGGTTTTTATATAAATTCTCTATTCAGATAAAACTATAATGTTGGGGTTTTTGTCACATAGTAGTAACAGTAGTAGTATACCCCTTTTCTTTTTTGTGTCTTTATCATTTGCTTATCTAGTTTTAAGTAGGCATTAGCTCGCTAACTTTCGAAGGAGGACGAAGAGGAGAAGGAAGGAGACCTAATCTTCATCATTTCTTAAGAGGCCCTCAGTAATCTCGGTTGAAGATTCTAGTTCAGGGGTATGTAACTTTCATGGTAGATTGGGTTCATGAAATTCCTATATTCTTTTCTTCTTTTATATTTTCTGTATATCGATCAAGCTATTTCTTAATCAAATCTCAGTTATTATGAAGAATATTCAGCAGTAAATTTTTACCCTTTTAGATCATTTCACTATATATATTTGGAGTAATGTATGTATATGCGTTTTTTGCAATTCATTTTATCTATTTATGGTGTATAAATGACATATTTTTTTTTTAATCTCAGTAGCTATCTAGGGTTAGGGTTTTGGAATTGAGCATATATTTTTGGATGAGTGCAACTTTCAGAGGATTAGCTTCTCTTTTTGTGTGCCTGGAACTTTAGAAGTAATATATTGGGGAAATGAAGACAATTGTAGCATTACCTAGCTTTGGAAATTGAGCCTGTGGCCTGGCTTTTTTCCTTGTTGAAAGCAAATAGAATAAGGAACCCTAAAGATGATGGAATATACATATCGAAGTTGTAGTTTTAATCTTCTCATTTAAGATTTTGAAGCAAAGCTTTATTAGCACTTTTCTTTAAGTGAGTTTGTTAATGGTAAGGTTATGCATATACGTGTTCAGACAAACCTTCTATGTATTGTTTATTTGTTGATACCCAATGTTTAGTTTTCCGATGTAGAGAGAGTTACAAACTTTACTAAGGGTAATGACATAAATAAGATTTATTTTAAAAATCTGGTATCACCCCAAATCTGTAACTGACTAAATGCTTAGTACGTAACTACTTGTATGGAGTATAATTATAAACTTGCTCATAATTGTGAAAGTAGTGTTAAAGCATATTTCCCCTATTATTTTACATTTGTGATACACGTAGAATTTGACCTTCTATTAAGACTTTGAGTAATTTTGTATGATTCCTTGAATTGTGCAAAGAAGTCTAAAGCTGACTGTTGACACTTACCTTTCAAAACGAGATAGAGTATATTGAAATCAAACAAGAAAAACCAAAATTTTGACAAGGGAGGGAATAATATTTAAGAGAACATTGATCATACGGTGTTCCTTGTACTATGGCACAATTTTTTCTTTCTCAATAAACTTTGGTGTTAAATTACCCAAATTAATGGAACCATGCTTATTATATAATCGTGCACGCTAACTATATTTAGTCCACACTATTCCATATGCATCACTCCCTATCGTATCATACATGTGGTGTTTAATTATCAGGCTAAAGAGCTACTCAAAATTGATTATTGTACAATCTTTATCAATTTAATGCATTGCACTTATTAGTTTGCTTCTTATTATTAATTGAGGAATGGTCTTACATTTTGGTTGAGATGTTTTAATTACTTTCAGTTAGATTGTTGGATGGCTAGGTAGCTGCTTCTTTAATTTATGACTGATTGGGTTTATGAGCCTGTTGGTAAGTCCTTGTGACGGTATGTACGTAGGAGTGGCTTTTCTTTAATTGCTTCCTCGCGGTTTTAATTTGGCCACAAAAAAGATAGATTCTTATCGGACTTATATTGTGTCTACCACCTGAGTTGAGTGGTAGACGCCAACGATTTGAAGTGATTGAAAGGTAATTAAGGTATGTTGTCTAAGAGTAGAATGAAGAATTTTTAATCATTCAACTGGAGAAAGGATTCTTTTCACAACGTGATATAAAAGGGATGAAATCTTGTTAAAGTTAACCTTAGAAAAACTAAAAGTGTTGTGTTTAGTTGCTTTTCGTCTTCTTGTGAATTCATACTCAACTACTAAAAGATGATCAAAGTTCCACATAAAAAATTATCTTATGCAACGTTATTAACCCCCCTTTTTTTTTTATTATAATCCAAATAGCATAAACTGAGTACAACACATATACTAATACCAAAGTTGTAAAATAAATTTGAGTACTAATTAATACTAATAAGATATATAATCTTCACTTTTCTAATTCAACTCGAGATACTTAGAGAAGTTGATTCTTATATAGCAGCAGAAATAATAGTACTTTGAGTACTTTCTTCAACCTTTAACATAGTTTATAAATTTCATTTAGACGTTGTAATTTAAAGATCGACATTAAATTAAAACAGTTCACAAAGAATAAGAAAACAACTTATTATCCATTCAGAAAAGAAGGGGCGAAATGGGATTTAAACAAAGATATTGGTGAAGAAAGAGATAGATTGCTACCACCACAACACCTTTGCACAAGGTGAGCGAAAAGGTGGTAACTTTAAAATGCCTTATTTACTGACTTTAAACTTTTTAAGTGTTTCTCCAAAGAGGTTAAGCTTATGTTGGCCATGTCTATCTTTCCATTTCATTTAGTCATTGTAGACAGGCTATAACTTTTCAGACAAATGATTGTTGTTGCTCTTATATTTTAATGAATTACTAGCTGTACACGCTTCCTTTAAATATACCCAGCATTTCCCATTATTCGTTTTGTAACTATTCTCCTCTTTTTTATGAACTATACATTGTTATATGAGTACCTTTCTATTTTTAACTCATCCAAGAATTGAAATTACTCCAATTTGGTGAATTATTATTTAGGTTCAATTTTGAGACTATAACCAATTTTATTATATGGTTAATTATTGCAATTATATAGGTCAAGAATTTACACAAAATCTCAAGAATTTTTTCTTCTTCTATAGATTAGACCCAATAGTGTGAATTAATAGCTTCTAGTGATTATTCAATCATGTTATCAAGAGTTTGACTTTTTCAAGGAAGAAGGTGCAAATTCACAATGAATTACCGTATTCTTCTAGACAACGTTAGAGATATAGAGAAAAAAGCCACAAACTTAGCGCAATTGAGGTTGCATCCAAAATCTAACTATTCAGATTAAAAAAAAGTATAGCTCTTTTAATTAGCTTATACCGCGAGACAAGCAGACAACATATATAGCATCACATTTGACCATTAATGAAATAGCAATATCTTTTAATTAAGATCCTTGATTTATTTTCTCTTCCTAACTTTTCTTCATGATTATTATGTTAGTTGTGTCCAATTTTCGAAACTTTTAAAGCTTTATAGAGTACAATTTATTTGCTTTCTTTGTCCTTTATATTATATATAAGTATCTTTATTTCACTATTATTATTATTATTATATGAATATATGATGATTACAAAATGCACCATTTACATAAGTTGTCCGTGCAACCTAAATTCCGCCCTAGGTGTTGTTTGGATGTCCTCTCATATACTTGGTATGTCTTTGACTCTAACCCAGAATGTTTGCATTAAACCTATAAATTACCACTTAAATGTTTGGAGATATCAATACGTACTAAATCCATAACGACCATAAGTGCCTTAAGTATTTTTGGATCCCCAAATTTTGATAAAATTATCCCAAGAAAAAATATAATCCTTATTGGTAGTCAATAATTAAGTAATTTTAATGGAAAGAAAATGATAATGAAGGATGTGATATTCTTTCCTCAATTTGCTTAGTAAAAAAGTCATAGTTTTCTGTTGCAAGAAAGGGAGTAACTCTTTCGCTAGTACATAAAGATTGATTCATGTATTGTAGACAATAAACAACTATGTTGGAAAATGTTTATTCCCCTAGAAAAAAGGCATGCATTGTGGGAATTAGATCCTTTTACTGCTGTAATTTTTACATAATTTGGGGTAAAAGTCATAAAATTCTGACACTAAAATTTAATTTGTGCATAATAATCCCCAAACCCTTCTCGTCTCTCTATATTAAAGGTAGAGGATCAATATGGTTTGCAAATTTCAGATATTTACCCTTCATTCCCTCCTCATACCAACAAAGATAAGGTCAAAGTTTGTACGGAAATTTACAATCCTTATATTAATGGTTAAAGTATATCTTCGATGAACATAAATAACTTCTATTTCAAATATTGAGTGTATATTTATGAGTCAATTTGGATAAATATCAGATATTGATGTGCAATAACAGGGTATTTTAGTCATATCTTTGAAGGTATGTATAGGATTATAATTAAAAACTTTGTGCATCATTATAAATGTATTTAGATTATATTGTTGGTACTATTTATAGCATTAGATAAATATATGTAGGCATTACACTATTCTGTACTTATTTGGTGGTATCTTATACATATGCCAATATTTACCAAAATGACATGTTATTTGTTTGCAAATCAATATCAGATATTAATTAAGACCTTCGCGTATATATTATATTCAAATTCTTTTTTTGAGATGTAGTTCTATATACTAAATTGGCAAATAGAATTGCATTTGCTAATCACAGTATAGTATAAGCAATGAATTCTAAAAATGGAATGCACTACTTAGAAAGGGCTATTGTTGATCGGAAAGCCCATCATTAGCCCATTGTATAGAGGGCCGTCTAAGTTGGGATCTCCGTTGATCCCGTAGGACCCGTAATATAAAGTTACAAACATGTACTCCATATAACATCGGAAGTATGATGTGCATATTATTTCCGGTTAACTTCCAGTTGACGTATTTTACGTTATACTTTTTGCAATCCCTTTTATCACAATTACTCACTCTGTCCCTTTATCTTTGCCCCATTGTTAGTTTTTGGTCAAATTTTGAAAACTTTGACCATAAATTACCGTTAATGTATAAAATATAATATAGTCATTTGTGGTCTTGTTAGATTCGTCTCATTATATATTATATTAATATCACGTTTTTATAATTTTTACATGATGGAAATAAAGATATAGAGGTTTTAAGACGCTATTGGAGACAGTGCATAGTCAAATGAGGCAAATAAATAAGGATAGAGGGAGTATATGTTATTGGAGTATACATATATATTCCTTTTACATATGCACAGTTACAAAATAAATCCAAACATATACTATACTATCCATTACATTAGCATACCGTGATTAAACTAGGCATACAACAAATATGGCAATAATTTGACAAAATATCAATTTTAATAATGCACACAATTATTCATTTGTTTCAAATTGCAAAAGACATTTTTTATTAAATTAAATCAGATTACATACCGACAACCTTCACTTTTTTGGGCATGATACGTACGTCCAATTTTAATTAATTACAATTTTCCCGTTGTTTATTATTGACTAAATGCTCCTAATTTATTTTTCTTATTAACTCAACAAAATTATTCACACATCTCATTATATCCATTGTTTACAATCTCCTAGACACATA